ACATAATATTTAAAAATATCCAAACAATATATTTAAAAATATATGTATTTGAAATTCATTTTTTTTAATTCAATTCAAACAATGTATTTTAAAATGCATGTATTTTATATACATGTATTTCAAATACATATATTTTAATTACACTCATCAAATTCAAATTCAAGTTTCCAAACACAACCTAAATAGAATTCGAGAGGAAATTTTGGGACTTCAAAGACTGCAATGTTTCGTATCTATCCAAATAAGAAAAATGGCACCATGATTACAAATTTTTACAGAAACATATGAATGCACTGAGACTAGGTTCAGCACTCAACAGAAGAAATTGGTTGTAATGCAAATAGGAAAATTGTTCAAAAAATGCAACATTCTTTTTTTCTTTTTTTTTTTTTGTCTTTTTTAAGTCGATCCTGATTGGCATCATGCTGGAGTGCTGTACCGCAGAAACTGTAGTCCATAATTTGCATCAACCTTGATAGCATAGAAGATGTGAGGTAAGCACTACAGAAAGGACATTAACTATTTTAAACATTCATAAGATCCCAAAAGAACCCTTTCAATGTTTCTCCCCAGTGCAGAGCCCATTAACGCCCTTCTACTCAAATAGGAACATGTCAGGCTCATCAGCATTAACTTCCAAAGCCCACTAACGCATTCTCCATACAGAAACACATAAAATGAAATAAGACAAGGGAGAGATATAGGCATGGGCTTAACCTGAAGATTGTCCAAAATCAGGTTTCGGTGACCGATGAAGCTGGTCATGGTGATATGAAGAAACATGTGGCCCATTTGGCATAAATATGCTCCGCTTGCTCGAACATTCCTTGATGGGAAACCACCCTGCACTCTACCACCAATTCTAGCATTTGCAATGGATCCCACACGCTCTGCTTGCATGCCCTGGAAGTGCGATGATGAACAAGTCATGTCCTTGAGATTTGTCGGAGGCTTTAGTTCTTCAACAACTTCGCTCATCAAAGGTCTGGCTTTAGGATCACAGCCAAGACAGTGGGCAGCCAATTGAATTGCTTTCTGTGCCCCTTTGATTGAGAAGCATCCTTCAAGGCGAGGATCTAAAAGTCAGTAAAACCTTCGTTTCTCTCCAAGATACGGCTGAGCCCATTCCACTAGGTTTTGCTCCCCATTTGGTTGGTTTTTGTCCATGGATCTTCGGCCTGTCAACATCTCAAGAAGAACCACTCCAAAGCTATAGACATCACTCTTAGATGTCAGATGCCCTGGAAAAAAGAATCGCCATTAAAATGTCAAACATATTTTCACTCAAGAAAATTTATATAATATGAATACCAACCACAAACTATTAGATGGACCAGGAAAAGAACATAAAATAAAAATTACTTGGATTGTATAGACATATAATTGTTGAAGTGAATAAAAGCTGAACGCATCATGGATCTATGGCTACAACATCCCAGCACCATTTATCCAATGTCTTAAAATAATTCTTCAAACTAACAGAAAATTAAACAGATAATTTTGGGGTTTGTACATTGGGAGAGAGGAAAAGAGGAGGTTTAATGTCATTCATGCTGTTTATCTGTTCTACTCACCTGTCATTACGTACACAGGGGCAGCATAACCATAGGTTCCCATCACTCGGGTTGATACATGAGTCTTATCTCCCTCTGGACCACCTTTGGCCAGTCCAAAATCAGAAAGCTTGGCATTGTAATCCTGGCAAGGTGTTGGCTGACTCTTAGACAAGGGATAATACATGGAAAAGAGAAAAAGGAAATTGTTAACATCATTCCAGTCACACACCACATCCAAAAGGATATTAGATGTTTTGAAATCTCGATAAATTACTGGTCTTTCAGCCTCCTCATGAAGAAAGGCAAGGCCCTTGGCAGCACCAAGAGCAAATTTCATTCTGGTGGACCAGGGCAGAGGAAGAGACCCTGCAACATAAAACATGCCCATTATATGAAGCACTAGAGTTAAATAGTCTGCTGGCAGACCATCAGTCAGTTACTAGGCTGCTGATATTGTAAATCAAAACAAGTAGAGGTGGAGGGTTTTGGGATAAATTTTCTCAAAGTCCTCATATAATGAATATTTTTCTCAAATTATCATCCTCTATAAAAATGATGATGCCAGGGGTCAATCCTGAATAATAATACATTTATCTGTCACCATCAGTTCTTCATTTTCCATCTCATAACATAACTAATTTTCTCAACAACAAAACTATTAACTTCAATGATAATTATTTTCTCTTCCTCATTCATGAACAAGATTGCAATGTTTCAACGCAGTTAAACTATAAACAAAGCCATTAACAAGAAAACCAAGTCCAGAACAAAACAAATGAAAACAGCAAATGAAACTGCTTCCTAAAAGGACATTTTACTAGCAATATGGAAAATACAAAAACCCTGCAATTGTTTGCACCTATGCCTAATTCCAAGTAGGTACAACTATTAATAAACATGCGTGTGCAGGGGGGGGAGGGGTGGGTTGGTGGTGCGTGTCTTAACTCCTGCCAATTCCCTACAATATAGAATGATCTTAAAAGGCACTTTGTATCTTACATCACCATTCTCAGTCAGGTTATTCTTTTAAATCCTCATGAGGGTTTTGATTTAACTCGAAGGTTGCTATCAGCTATTAAACATGGATGAGGAAATTAAGACTAAGCAAGGCCAACTTTATGATGAAAAGTAAGACCATGAAAGGCCAACAATTTGTAAATTTACATACTTCGAAATAGGTGATTCTCCAAGCTTCCTCGAGGCATAGACAAGGAGCCTTTGATCATCCACAATGCAATAGCCAATCAACTTGACCAAATTAGGATGCAAAAGATCACTAAGGTAATTAACTTCAGCCTGGCAACGCCGCAAAACACCCTTCAATCAATCAAATGAATACACAAAATTTGAGTAAACCTAGATGGATGAAGAGATCTCTTACAAGCCATTCTTTATGACCCTGAAGTCCATCATGCTTGAGGGTTTTGACAGCAACAGACAATCCTGTACCAGGTTTCACAGGAGCAGTTCCGTTCTCATTGATCCAACCTCTGAAGACGCAACCAAACACCCCCCTCCCCAAGAAGGCTCTCTGGTCTAAAATTCCTTGTTGCTGACTTGAGCTTATTATAGGAGAATTTCCGAAGCTGAGAAGCAACTTTCAGTTCCTCACCTACATTGGGAGTGGATGGGGTGCTTTCAGCTGTGCTAGTGGTTGAAGTTGACGCAACTGGAAGAACTGGTTCGTGCCTGCTGGTATCATTTGTAGATTTACTTTCTGCCGGTACAAACAAACGAAAAATTAATGCATTACATGTAATAGGAATCCTTAGGCTGGGAACTTGCCTTTATAGTTGACCATGTTCATTCCAGAAAAGTAAGTGTGCAGGTGTATCACCATGACAGCAAATTAATCAAACTAAAAACTCTCAAGGCCCATTAATCAAAAATAAGAAAGACGTGTTTACTTGGCAGACCTCTGATGCGTTACCAACTGTTTTAGCCATCTTATTTAAGCAAAAGCAAGCCCGACAAAATCAATAAATGCAGGGATTTACTAATGTAACACCACCTAACAAACAATAAAAGTGATCTATTCATCCTGTCACATGTGGTAGGGCAAATGCATTGGATAGAAATCAAGGAGTCAATGTACAAGTGTAAATCACATGCTCGCTAAACCAGAAAATCAAATCAAAGAAAATATGCCTCAACACCCATGTGGCACCAAATGACACAACTAGATTTTCATCGGACAAGTCAATAGCCATAAACATTACCTACATAACCAAAGCAGACAACAAAAATGGAGAAACTACAAGAGATCAACATGTCAATTGTCAACGATGCAACATGTAACATGCCAGCCCATCCGGAGAGTGTAATCAAATGCATTATAGGTCTGAACAACCGAGTGATGAGTAGAAAAGAACGATCAGATATACACTCCATCTCATAGCCAAGTAATCTAACAAGTATATAACTAGATAAACATAGACATGATTGATGAAGTATATAAGGAAAACTACAAACGAAACAAACTAAGAAAAAAAATTAAGCTTTTTACCATATTGAGAGCCACTGACACTTATGGAACTATCCCCTTTGGACCTTGGAGATAGACAGCTTCCAATAAACCATAACTTAATCCAGCACCCTGGCCCCTCAGCTTCGCAATCCTTCTTCTTTCCGTTTAATTTTCCCACATTCCAAGCCCCCACCTGGATAGCATCAGGACCTAATCCCATGTTGCAAGAAGAGAACCTTTTAAACTAAATTCCCATGTCTCAGAACAGGTTCACAGCACCACGAACTATCCTTGACAATCTTCCTCAGCCTTAAACATCTCAATTGCAGCATTCATGAAAATGGTCCATACCACATTGACAATAAAAACCCACCAGAGAAACAGCAAAACCTGGAAATTCAAGATCCAAAAATCAATAAAAATACTAGAGAATCGGCAGAAAGTTTTACCCTTTTGTAGAACTGACATGCCTAAAACTCAAGAAACCTAAAATCGAATAAAACCCAGATGAGAAAATCCTTCTAAATATTAATCCCATTATCAAAAAAACTGACATGCAATGCAAGAAAACCATAACTGGAATAATACCCAATTCAAAGCTGCTTTAGAACCTAAAAACAAGAAACCAGAAAAAAGCATGACATTGTAGAAGAGTTTTCAAGTCATCCTCCTTAACTTACCAAGCACACAGATAGTCACACCATCCACCGCACAAATGTATCAGGACCAAGCAAGACAAAACAGAGAGACAAAGACAGGGGGAGAACAGAGTCTCGAGAGGGAATGTAGGTTTGAAAGTCGAAAGGCAAAGGAGAAGAAAGGAAAAAGAAGGGAGAAACGTGCGTTATTTGCGTGAAAAGGAGTGAGGAGAAGAGAGAGTGTTTGTCTGTGCTTGGATGCATGTGTGTGTTTTTGAGCGAGGAAAAGAGAAAGACAAAACACAAAGCAACAGACCGTCACCAAAGACAGTCCCTCACCAAAGCAAGTTTTTAAGATTCCCAAAATTTAGTAATACATTGCAAACTGTCTATTTCCCTTTTTGGCTTCCTTTCCTTCTTAAAATTCATTTTTTTTCCAATATTTTCAAGTGCCAAAATCTTATAATTACAATACTAAGCATATTATTATAAACTTAAAATGAGTGGTTATATAATAAATATTTTTTTAAAAAAAGTAAGTATTAATATGTATTTAAAAAAACAAAAAAAAATTTAAAATT